AGTTTACAGATCCTTCATAAATATTCAATTTATTTGAGTTCTATTTCCAGAACACCTAAAATCATCCGTTGGAGTTATAGACTGAAAGATATCGTCTCCGGAGTGAACACAGGTCCAGGAGCTGTTTTCTTACCATTCTGATGCAATGCAAAGATGAGCTCTCCGGGGAGCCTTCCACTTCCCAAGCGCTGATGGTTTCTTCTTCAAAGTTTGAGCAGAATGAGTAATCTTGATTGTGGAGTTTTTTTCAAGTCATTTGGAGTCATGTGCTGAAAGTTATTACGACCGGGAGACAAGCGGGTTGATACAAGCTTCAAGAGTTACGATTTGTGCTAAGTGTTTAAACAGGCCTCGGTGTCGTTTTCTCGACATTGCCTAAGCCGAGGCATATTCCCTGAAGCTTTTTGGTCTAGACCTCGTGCTAACCCCTCGGTGTATCAAAACCGAGGCACACATGCTGAAGAAACGAAGCTGAAAATGACTAAGTGTTGAAGCTAGACGTCGGCCTTAAGACCTCGACATTGCACGTCGGACCTCATCTCCCTTGACCCCTCGGCCACCTGACCCCTTGGTGTATCTATGCCGAGGTCCCTTGTCACGAACCCAGATCAAGAACAAGGCTGATATAACGAGTGCACGTGGAGATGAATCAAAGACTAGGCTTCATGTATGTTCTTGGTGAGTTCTTCATGAGTTCTTCACTTCAATCTTTGCTCACGTGCACCCCTCGACGTCTACACCTCGGCATTGAACCCAACGACCCAAAAAGACCAGTTCAGTACCCGGTTTGTTCCGGGCTGACCCGCATCACTTAGCTTCACTATATATAGTTTTTGAGACTAAAACCCTACTTATCTTATCTATTTATCTTATCTTATCTTATCTTATAGAACTTGCCTCTTTTGTGAAAACTTGCTGCTTTAATTGATATCTCGTTTTTTCATTAAAGATCTTGTTCTCTTTTATTTTATTTTTTATCATCACAAAAATTCTAATCATGTCTAGCATCACTTCTTGCAAAATATTAAGTGTGTTCTTCATGATTAGTGAGTAGTTCCATTATGAGGTTTTAGATAGTTAGATTATGGTGCTGAAATGCTAGATTAGTGAGTTTAGGTTCTAGATCTGCATCATTCATTCTCTACTAAACCGATCTCTATGTTGGATCCATGAACATCACATGTGATCTAGATCTGAGGTACTTTCACGCCTGAGAAGTATTCGCTGAAATACCTGAACCAGGTTTAGTAGAGGTTTAAGAGTCTTTCATCATGATAATGATAGTTTGCTTCTCTTAAATGACTTATTGAACGGATTCTTAATGTTTGCTGATTCATGCTTCTCAAAAGGGATTTTGGTATGAAAGAGGATTAGCATAGAAGTTTAATACCTTTATGAGAGGATTATCTTGTCTTTGAGTTCATGTTAAATGAAGTTTCTTGATCATTTGGTTCATTAACTCGCTGATTTAGTGTAGAAGCACCCTAGTTCATTATCATGTCTAAAGCCTCTGCCTCATCATTTCATACATCAACCGCTTATCTATCTTGCTATTCTTGTTTGTTATTTGCATTTTGCTTAGTTTAATTTCTTATCTTTGTTCATTTGCTTGTTCTTAAGTAGTTTTAGACACCAAAACCCATTTCTTGAACCGCTTGACTTAAGATACATAACATCATAAACTAGTGTCTAACCACAAGCATGGATTGATATCTCTTCATTACTACAATGAAAGGGGATTGATAACCCTTCTTAAAGCCTAAAAATCTTAGTTATCAATCACCAGTGTATGTACATGCAGTTAACTTTCTTATGCGATGAAAAAGAGTATTATTGGACGGTGGCTAAAAACAGGAGAACACCTACAAGAATTCAAAAATAGAGAATTCCATTCAAGTTTCTAAACCGTAGGTGAACTTGCTGTCTATAGCATTCCATTCAAGTTTCTGAACCGTAGGTGAACTTGCTGTATATAGCATTCCATTCAAGTTTCTAAACCGTAGGCGAACTTGCTGTTAAGCGTAGCCTCCAAGTCTGCATATTCTCCAAGTCGTGCAAATATCTTTCAAAAATTGATGTATATTCTGGTTGTGACCTTCTCATATTATTAGGACACAAGAAATTTCGCAGACAGTTGTCTTTTGTTCACTTATTTTCATCTGTCTAGTTAAGCAAGAGACACCAAAACATATGTAATTTGATCTCTTTCCGGTCGAACAAATTAGGGATCGGTTAAGTTTTGAAGTTTTTTGGTTAAGATTACAGTTTGAAGAAAACAAATTTAACGAAGTTTTTTGGATTCAAACAGCATTTCCATAATAAGTATAGTACCTATATAGTTAAACACGTCAAATTTGTATGGTTATAATTAACTGAAGAAAACTTAAGTATTAAAGTGATTTGGTCTCCGATTGTTAAATTTGGCTGGATTGTAAAGTGATTTGGTCTCCCGAAATTCGTATGATTTACAAGATATAACCACCCGGGTTTATGTGTTAGACATTCCAAAGCGTGTCTTAAAGATAGTGGTTACTGAATAGACTGGGTACATACTTACACGTCAACTACATACTTGTGTTAGGCATTCGAGAGCGTGTCTTTTGGCAGTTGACTTTTTTTGTGTGTGTGAAACCTCTTGCAAATTAGACCGGTTATAAAATGCTGGTTAAACCTCTTACAAATTAGAATCGAATCCCCTAAGGCTCAACTACTTGAAATCTTCAAGCGTTTCAAATTATATAACTTTTTGGGATAATTTTGACCTTTGACCATTGACAATTTTTTTGCTTAATAACTAAATAAGACCATTGAGCATTTTATCGCATGTCTATTATTGAACTTTAAATTTTAAACAATGATGAAAAAATCAGTTGCTATAAAGGTTAGATGAATAGTAGAATACAAGCATAAACGAATGATTTAATAATAAAATTATCTGAATTAAATCGGGTTTTCGTAAATTATCCGCAACATAAATCATAAAACACTAAAATCGGTCTCTTTATATATTAAGGACTTAATTTTTTTGTTTTTAGTTATATTTTTTGACATATCCAAACAGAATCACTTTTCAAAAATGTGAAATGTAAAAAAAATGATGAATATATTTTATAGTTAAAAATAGCATAATCAGTTAATCACATTCTCAAGACGTGAGAAAAGTATCATTCATATCTCTTATCTTTTCAATCTATATTTTTTGTTTTTTTTTAATAACTCAAGTAAATCCTACACAAATTGAACCAAACGATTACCAACTAATCTGGAAGGTGTGAAAGTTCGTTGGAGACGAAAGTGACAAACACATAATGTTCAACATCTGAGCCGAATCCCAGAATTAACTAGCCCAACAATACTAAACAGCAGTAAATTTCTCTTAGCAAAAACTAATCTGAAAGAATAACGAGTTTACGCATTGCCTCTAATCAACCATCACTAGGTCATACTTTAACTAAAAAAAACCATCACTAGGTCATCACTGTTGGGTTCATGTCATAAACTACATTGTACATTTGTACTTAGGGTTGATTTTATTTTAGATTATAGTTAAGCGGTATTAATCTTGTTTATTAGAGCCATTCTTTGGAGTGAATTAATTTGTGCCTAGCTGGCTAGCTAGCTAGAGAGAGGGAGAGAGAGGCAAAAGCAGCAAGAGGACACAAAACCTAGCTGGATAAGAGAAAAATGAATAAAAAATGGATAAAGGTAGGGACCTGCTAAGAACAATTGATAGGGTTCTTTGTAATAAATGCACCCTTATCGTACGTATATGCATCCATTCAATGTTTTTTTGTTTCATTTGCCTCAAATTGATTACAGTTTGGTGGTTTTGCGTCTGCCCTTTATTAGCAAAATAGATTAGCATCGAGGTGTGAACCACAAGTCGCCGAATCTGGTTTGCTCATTACGGACGTAGCAATCAGCGATTTTTTTGGGTTCAATTTCATGTCTTGTCCTACATTTAGTTATATGATATAAGTGTGTCGAAGATAATTTTCAGGTTTTTCCATATATTATATTCACTTTGTCTCTGAATAAGATGTTTTAGATAAAAATGCAGAAATTACAAAATTATACTTTTAAAAACAAAACACCATTTCATTATAAATTAAAAACATAATTCAGCCAGTCGTTAAAAAAAACTGCAGAATCCAAAGAGTTAAAAGTATTCCCTCCGTTTCATAAAGAATGTTTTTTTAATGTTTTATTTTTGTTTCATAAATAGTGTCGTTTTATATTTTCAATGCAGAATTTTAAACAATATTCCAGTTTTGACCTATTGATTTAATGTATTAATTAGAGAAAAAAAATTATTTAATGCATTAATAAAGGACAAAATAGTATTTTTAATAGTTTTCTTAATAAGTGTGAAAAATGTCAGAATGACACTCTTTGTGAAATGGATGGAGTATCAATTATCAAAGAACACTAAAATTTGCATGGAAACTTGTATAATATTTTATAAAATAAAAAAAATATAATTAAGCAGATAATTATGAGACAAAAGGAGTAGATTACAATGCAACATCACACATCAATTTTTCAACGTATTCAAACTATTAAAAATTACTACAATTCTAAAAATTGGGTGCATAGACGTTCGTCCAGGTAACCAAATCAATCAATAAAAAGCCAATATATTCAGTTTTCACACTAGTCAAATATAAAAACATATGATAATATGAAGAAGAAAAATCTCTGATTATTCTCCAACAAAATTAGTTAGGTGTGAGGCCCTCTTCGAACGCCGTTTTTGGAACATTTAAAAATACACACAAGTACAATAGTTTATTAATATGATATAATAATATATGGTCGAGTATGGGAAAGAAAATAACACGTCAATTTGCAAATAGAATAAAATCTCACATAATGCAAATTGAGAGAAGACGAGGGTGGTAAGTAAGATGTGTGGTCGAGAGAGTGAGTGAGAAGGTTTGAATATGTACGTTAAGGCTTCTATAAATAAAGAATCTTTGCATGTGAATTCATGTACTTAAAATTAAACTCATCATACGATAATCTTCTTAGCTCTATTTTTGTTTATCCTCCAAAGAAGATGGGATCCATTTCGAAAATGGAGTTCGAATCTTCTTCATCTTCTAGCCCAATTCATGTAATGCTCGTGTCGTTTCAAGGACAAGGCCACGTCAATCCACTTCTTCGTCTCGGCAAGCTAATTGCTTCAAAGGGAATACTCGTTACCTTCGTCACAACAGAGCTTTGGGGAAAGAAAATGAGACAAGCCAACAAGATCGTCGACGGTGAGCTTAAACCGGTTGGTTCTGGTTTAATCCGGTTTGAGTTCTTTGACGAAGAATGGGCTGAAGAAGATGACCGGAGAGCTGATTTCCTTGTATACATCTCACACCTGGAGCAAATCGGGAAACGAGAAGTGTCGAAACTCGTGAGGAGGTACGAGGAAGAGAACGAGCCCGTCTCGTGTCTGATCAATAACCCTTTTATCCCATGGGTGTGCCACGTGGCGGAAGAGTTCAACATTCCTTCTGCTGTTCTTTGGGTCCAGTCTTGCGCTTGTTTCTCTGCTTATTACCATTACCAAAACGGCTCTGTTTCTTTCCCGACAGAAACTGAGCCTGAGCTCGAAGTCAAGCTTCCTTGCGTTCCACTCTTGAAATACGACGAGATACCTAGCTTCCTCCTTCCTTCTTCTCGGTTCGCAGGATTCCGAGAAGCGATTCTTGGACAGTTCAAGAATATGAGCAAGCCCTTTTGCGTCTTGATTGATTCCTTCGACGCATTGGAACAAGAAGTGGTCGATTACATGTCGAATCTCTGTCCTATCAAAACCGTTGGACCGCTTTTCAAAGTGGCTAAGACAGTGATCTCTGAGGTAAGCGGCGACATCTGCAAACCGGCGGATCAATGCATCGAGTGGCTAGACACGAGGCCTAAATCCTCCGTTGTGTACATCTCGTTCGGGACAGTCGCGTATTTGAAGCAAGAACAAATCGAGGAGATCGCTCACGGTGTTTTGAGAGCCGGTTTATCGTTCTTGTGGGTGATTAGACCTCCACCGCATGATCTAAAGGTGGAGACTCATGTCTTGCCACAAGAACTTAAAGAAGAGAGTGGTAAAGGTAAAGGGAAGATTGTGGATTGGTGTCCACAAGAGCAAGTCTTGGCTCATCCTTCCGTGGCGTGTTTTGTCACACATTGTGGATGGAACTCGACAATGGAGGCTTTGTCTTTGGGAGTTCCGGTGGTTTGTTGTCCGCTATGGGGAGATCAAGTGACCGACGCGGTTTATCTGATTGATGTTTTCAAGACGGGAGTGAGGCTTGGCCGTGGAGCGACGGAGGAGAGGGTTGTTCCGAGGGAGGAAGTGGCGGAGAAGCTTTTGGAAGCGACGATTGGGGAGAAAGCGGAGGAGCTGAGAAAGAATGCTCTGAAATGGAAGGCGGAGGCCGAAGCTGCGGTGGCTCCCGGAGGATCGTCGGATAAGAATTTCCGGGAGTTTGTGGAGAAGTTAGGTGTGGGAGTAAACAAAGTTGCGTTGAACGAACATTAGTGTTTCATACTCTCATGATCTCAATCTTGGTGTGTGTTTTCAAGTTTCTTTGTTTTATATTTTTGTGGTTTGAAGATAACGTGGGATCTTTTGTTAACAATATGGATTTTGTAATTGTTTATCATTGTATTATTTGATTAGCTCAATCTTCCGCACAATTTTTATTGTTTGTGTTAAAATTCTATGAATCGAAGCATTCTTTGATATTAATCTCCTTGCAAGTTTAAATTATATTTTGATGCATTTTAGTCATGTTGTATTTTATTTAGATGAGTAATCAAATCTACAAATTTCAAAAATTCCATCGCATAAACAAATTAAGAATGAAATTAAAATCGATAAAATACATATAATAATTATAATTTAATAATAAAATAATCTCACATAATGCAAACTGAGAGAGAGGAGAGTGGTAAGTAAGACGTGTGGTAGAGACTAGAGAGAACAAGTGAGTAGGTTTAACGGAATATTTTTAATAAATGAATCGTCGAATAGTTTTATCACCGAGCTTTCTACTAAATGTAAAGTACAACATGAGTAATGGCCAAATGGAAACAGTTTCAATAAATGATGAAGATTTGTGATTTGTGTATCTAAACAAATAGCTCAAATGTTTGGGCGGGGTGGTTTAGATATTTGTGTCGAAGAAGTCAGTGGTTATTTACACACAATGTCCAAGTACTTAAGGCATGTCCATTAGTGACCCTCTCATTGGGGGTCATTAGAATTAAAAATTAATTTTTAGTTTGGTTAAAGTTTGGGAAGAACTCATGTGGGAAAAGTGCTTCCAGTAGTGAACCCGTGGTTCGAGTTCATTCCAAATAAATATATAATTTTTTTTAAGTAAAAGTAAACACATTTTTATTTAAAAAAGAAATACAATTTAGCAAAGAGAAATACATCTATTACAGAAATAAACAAATTATTGAAAGAAAATTACAAAACATACAACATTTGAAATATAGAAATACTTAAAAACATATAAGAAGTATCAAATTTATTCCAGAGATTTTCGATTAAATCCGCTTTTAGACGTTCATGTATCTGGTTGTCACGGACCTCGTTTCGTTTTGCCATCATCAAATTTGCGATATTTGTAGGCCTATTTGTAGAATATGTCCAATCGCGTTCTCTACTATCATATTATGTAATATGATAGCAGCCCGCAAAATCTTGCTAATTTTTTCTTTATCCCAAAAAAGAGCTGGATTTTTTATTATTGCAAATCTAGATTGCAGAACGCCAAAAGCTCGCTCCACATCTTTTCGGATGGATTCTTGAGTTGTTGCAAATAACTTATTTTTCTCTCCTTGTGGAAGATGAAATGATTGTATAAATGTAGCCCATTTGGGATAAATACCGTCGGTTATATAATATGGCAAACGGTACTCGTTACCGTTTACCCAATATCTTACTTTTGGAGCTCGGCCTTGCAAGATGTCATCAAAAACTGGAGAACGATCAAGAACGTTAATATCATTTAATGTACCTGGAGGTCCAAAAAATGTGTGCCATATCCAAAGATCGTGTGATGCAACTGCTTCTAAAACGATTGTTGGTTTTCCTGACCTCCGTGTATATTGCCCTCTCCATGCAGTCAGACAATTCTTCCACTCCCAATGTATACAATCGATGCTTCCTATCATCCCGGGAAAGCCCCTATCCTCTCCATCGTTCAGTAAGCGTTCAAGATCATCAGTTGTGGGTCTTCTCAGATACTCATCACCGAACAAGGATATTATACCCTCGGTGAAATTTTCCAAACATAACAACGCTGTAATAGCACCGAGCCGGAGATACTCGTCAACTGCATCAGCTGCGGTACCATATGCCATCATACGAATTGTCGCAGTACATTTTTGGAGAGGAGATAGACCTAATCTTCCGATGGCATTTCTTCGGTGCCAGAAGTACGGTACTTCATTGGAAAGTCGATCAACTATACGCATGAACAAATCTTTGTTCATCCTAAAACGGCGACGGAATATATGTGACGGGTAAGTAGCATCATCGCTGAAATAATCGTTCCATAACCGAGCGTGGCCTTGTTCACGCTCTCTTTCAATGTATGCTCTTTTTTTCTTTTTCCTTTTTTCTGCGTTGACGATAGAATTGAACATTGCCTCAAACTTCTGATCAAAAGCATCATCAAAGGCATCATCAAATTCATCATCTAATCGATCATCATATGCATCATCCAATCGATCATGGCTTGATGATGCTGCCATTATAAATTTTTTAGATATTGGTGATTAGAGATAAGGAGAGGAAAAATTTGAAAATAGAATTTGGCCAAGTGAAAGAGTGTTTGACAAAGTGTTTTTAGTTTGGTTGAGAAGAGAAGATGGAATTTGGCAAAGGTTGATGAATTTTATTTTTTTAGCCGAGAAGATGGAAAAAAGAAACAACAATATGACTAAAATTTGCAAAGAGGTTTGAATGAAAACATAAATGTCTAAACACATATAAATACATGGCCGATAGATAGAAGCTGTGGCTACAAAGCTAGTTGGTCAAATATATGGTCCATATTACAAGATTCTAAATTTGGGGTTACAAGGGAAAACAACAAAAGCATCTGGCCCCTCCAAAGTTGAGCATATGGTCACGGACGCATCTTGGAAAGCAACTTGCTATGACACACCCTGCACAAAACACGTGAACGTCAGAAGCAACAAAAGATCACAATGTAAGCTAAGCTACGCAAAGTACACTGAAAATAAGGAACAATCATACATAAACACATATTCTCTCAAGTATACAAAGCAGAAGTTCAAACTTAATGAAAACACAAAAGTCCAAGCCACAGGAAATCTTAAGTTCTAACCTAGAGATCATACATAGCACGGATTAACTTGTTTTTCAAAGCAATTTCAACATCTGTTAGGGGTTCATTCTTTGCTAAAAGGCTCTCAAGAATCCTCTTGTCCCTGATCTTCTCTTTCAATTCGAGGTCTTTTAGTTTCATGTCCCACATGGAAGAAAAGTCCTTCATATCTTTGGTTTCACCCTTCGAGCCTCCTGATTTCTTCGCATTGGCTTTCGACGCCTTCACACCGGGAGGCCGAGGCTCCACTTCAATATCGTTCACGCTTCCAGGCATTGACGATGACGACTGCGCCGAGTCTTCTACTCTTCTTTTTTTTACGGATGCATCTTCCTGTGTTGAGCTGGTCGTGCACCATTTCTGATCGAACCTCAACTCTCTCCAGGCGTGTTCGAGGGTAAACTTAATGCCATAGTTATTGACAAAAATTTCATGTGCAAGCTTCATTACATCATTGTCATTCTCACCGCTACTTCTTTGCTTCTCTGCAGCTGCGTAGGAACCCACAAATTTACAGACATGATCGTTGATTCTTCTCCATCGTTGCTTACACTGCGACCATTCTCTTCTTGGCAGACCTTCAAGCTCCGGACAAGCGTTGTAATAGAGCTGCATCCTCTGCCAGAAAGCACCGAGCTTCTGTTCGTTTCCCACAACGGGATCCTTGCTGGTGTTGAGCCACGCAGAGATAAGGAGGACGTCTTCCTTCGGACTCCAGACTTTTCTCTTCAACGCATTATCAGACGGATCATCAGAACCTTGTGTGCTAAACAAGGGAACTTGTGATGATCCTAAGTCTATGCACGGAGAATAAGCTTCAGGGGTTAACTGACTACTTAAAAGATTAACAAACCCTTCAGAGGGCGTAAAGGAGTTGTGAGAGTCCATGTGAATGAAAGAAGGAGTTTTCAGAAGTTAACAGAAAGAAAATAAAGAGAGTCACCGAATACAAGATTGAATGAAAGAGTGAAATGAGTGAAGAGAAATCGAATGAAGTTTTAGAGTATCAGATAGTGGACGCTTGAAAGAAGGAAAATAAGCAACTGAAAGAGTGAAACATAGTAGAGGTTTAATTAAAAAGAGAGTTATTATATTTATGGTTGAGTATCTTTTAAGTGTCTTTATTGTAGTGGTTATCTGTCTTTTAAGTGTTGGTTGAGTCTCGTTTAATTTATGGGTGAGAGTTTTTAAGACAGTTTTTAACTTTGTAAAGAAGTTTTTGAGTTCTCGGAAAAGGTATTAATTACATAAACCTACCATGTCATGTCAACCATTAAAAAGACCTAAACTATATATCAAACACTCACACAATTCTTGTTCCAACAAAACCTAAACAACCGATACGGTTTAAAGAGAACTAACCTTCACTTTGCACCATATGCCATGAAGGCCCGTATGCCATGCAGTCCAACCCTTGTCCACGTAGAGTCCAAAATGATCCTCAGCAAAAAAGATTAAAAGAGACCATGTTAAATAGTTTAGTACTCAATGCTAACCGAAACGTAAACCCTACAGATATATGCGAGCAGTCCAATCACACAAAAAAATAACAGCATTGATAAGGTATCACCTTGAGCACCAATGCGGTCCTTCAAAAACCGTACTTCTCCTTCCAGCCTGGTTAACTGTTCAAGAACTTCTTCATTACGCCTTGCTTGCTCCTCACAGACCTCTCCTATGGCTGGATCTACCGATTGAATCCTTCCCCGATCAACGCTCACGATCATTGCATGCTGGTTCTCTATCCTTGTCGCGAGGATTTCACACTGCTCTGTGACCGCATGATCCCACCATTAGTGAATGTGGTCAAAAGAGCCCTACATGTAAAACAAACTATTAGGAAACGATTGATACAACCAAAACAAACTACAAGTTAACTCACACAACTTACCTCATCAATCCACTTAGGGCAGGAATAATACTTCCGTCCGGCTTCATTTTGGTTGAGTTTCACAACCAGGCCACAAAAGCACTTCTCCGGGATGCCATACGTGGCATCCGCGTAAACCCAATAAGGCACCTCTTCCTCTGACGAACCGCTACTGTAACTTGGCATACTCTGTCCACAAAACAAGATTTTGATCAGTACTATACAACTAAACCCTAAACTAATCTCATATACTTAGCACAACAGACAATGTAAATCAGAAAAAACATTTCAGTTCACACGGTTATCTAAACATTTTGAATCTATTCAAAAAGCACCAAACATTCCGAATCTAAACATTTCGGTAATAGATCAAGTGAAACCCGAATCACATCGAAACCAAAACTCATATTGAAAGCTTAAAACCATTAAATCATTTCACAAATAGTTTAATCAGTGTCTAAATTCATTGAATTACACACCAATTGCAACCCCAAAACAAACCCCCAAATTTTTTCCCCAATCGTAAAAACCCTAATTTCACTTTGTAGATTTTTCCCAAATTCGACATGCAATTTCGAATACGGCCATGAAAGCGTACCTATGTACAAGTAATGAACCCTAAATTCTAAAAAAAACCCAGATTTCATTTGATTTCTTTTCCAATAAATCCCAATCCCTAAAAACTCGAAATCCAAACGAACAAAAAGAAAAATCGAAGTGTAGAAGCTTACCGGGATTATATCGACGGAAGGACGATGCTCGGATGGCAGCTTCACCGGGATTTAGCGACGGGAAACACAGGCGGTGACGGAATCGCCAAAATCGCCGCAGAGACTCACGAGAAAACCCTAAACTCGGGGAAAGTGAAAAATGATTTTCGACCCCGAATGTTTTTTTTTCACGCGAAATTCCCATTTTTCTCTCCCAATCAGCAAACGCCACGTGGCTCCGACACGGAGTCGTTGGGTTCGTCCGGACGACCCGAGTCTTCCGTGTTGGGCTCATTTTCATTTTTTTTAATGCAAACCACATATGATCCCGAGCCCAAAAACCGGGAAGACCCCCCAATGGACATGGCCTTAAGTGTCAAGTACGCAGCTGACTTTTTTGGGTCAATAAATGAAACTTTTTTGGTTTATGTCCACTTTGGAACATAAGACATGACATATGAATGAAAACTTTAGAGCAGCAAGGATTGAGTTTTGGTCTCTTATTCTAATATTTTAATATTAAAAATGGATGAAAGCAATTAAACTTGAACACGTGGCAGAAGAGACATAAGAGACGTATATTATCGTTCTCAATTAAGATACGTCTCTGTCCAAAGTTTATGTAAACTTATTTTTTTATTTACAAATATTCAGAAGAAACGTCCCTGAAGACGAGCGTTGCGGATGGTCTTAGAGCATCCTCATCCCAAAGATCCATATGGGTCTCTTCAGCATTTTTTTTTGTTTGAAGACTGATTTTAGAAACGCTGTAAAGACTGTTTTTTTGCTGAACATTGCTAGAAACCAGATTAGGCTTCAAAAAAAACTTGATTTAATACGATGCATTAATACAAATAAAATATAAAATTTGCTATAAACTCTAGTTGTTATATAATAATGTCCAAATCGTTGCCATATATGTTCGACCAAATCTGATTTCAATTGATGATGCTACTGTTTATCACAAACTTTTTTCCGAGCTGTCAGCATATCGGTAATATTTGAAGTCATAGCTGTGGAAAACGACATATCCATATTAGAATTTCCGCTTCCGTCTCCTGGTTGAAATTCTGCAATAGTATCTAATAGATTGTATTCTTCTCTTTCGTCTTCTACAATCATATTATGGAGGATGATGACACAAGCTCTCATAATCTTTCCAATTTTCTCTTTATCTCAAAAAAGTGTCGGATTTTTGACAATGGCAAAGCGAGATTGCAAGACTCCAAATGCTCGCTCTCTATCTTTTCGGGCACCTTCTTGACGCTCCGCAAAACAATGTGCCTTCGAAGATTGGGGAAGTGGAATAGATTGTATAAAAGTTGCTCATTTTTGATAAATATCATCTGTGAGATAGTATACCAAATTATACTTCCTTCCATTAACGGTAAAGTTGACTGCTGGTGCTTTAACTTGAATTATGTCATCAAAAATGGGTGAACGATAAAAAAACATTTATATCATTTAAGGTACCTGGAGGTCCGAAAAAAGCATGTCATATCCAAAGATCATATGAAGCTACTACCTCTAACACTATTGTTGGTTTTCCCGCACCACGAGAAAATTGTCTTTTCCAAGTGGTAGGGCAATTCTTTCACTCTCAATGCATACAGTCGATGTTGCCTATCATTCCGGGAAATCCTCGTTCCTCTCCAATATAGAGTAAGCGTTGAAGGTCCTCTGGTATGGGTCTCCTTAAGTTCTCATCACCAAACAAATTAATACTGGCCGACAAAATATTCTAAACATGCACGAGCGGTGGTTTCACCAAGTCGGAGATATTCATCCACTGTATCCGCCGCTGTTCCATATGCCAGTAGACGAATGACGGCTGTACATTTTTGGAGTGGAGAGACTCTAGACCTTCCTAGACCATCTTTTTTCTGACGGAAGTATTGAAATTCAGTAGATAGTTTCTCGAGGATACGTAAGAATAAATGCTTGTTCATCCTAAAACGTCGCCAGAATAAATTAGGAGGATACGTTGCAGCATCACTGAAGTAATTGTTCCATAACCGATTGTGCCCTTCTTCATGATCTCTTTCGATGTAAGCTCGTTTTTTCCTTGTTTTTGGTGCTTCCAAACGATTTCCATATTTAATGAAAAGTTTGATCAAACCGTCGATCAAAAGCTTCATCAATGGATCCATGAAAAATGTTGTTTGAGGAAGATCCATCAAAATTAATGTTTGAATATGATCCATCGAAATTGATGTTTGAATAAGATCCATCATAATTGATGTTTGAATAAGATCCATCAACATTGATGTTTGAAGAAGATCCATCAAAATAGCCTTCTTCATAAGATTCATCAAAATTGATGTTTGAAGAAGATCCATCAAAATTGTTGTTGGAAGAAGAAGATGCCATATGTTTTTTTTTATATATGTTTGGTGTTTGAAACTAGAAAAATGAACATGGTGTTTAAAATGTTGAACAAGAGAAGAGTTTAAAAACGATTACAAGGTTGAACAAGATAAGAACAAGAGAGTAGCAATAAAGATAAGAATAAGAGAGTTGCAATAAGAAGAAAAGAGTAGCAATAAGAAGAAGATAGTAGCAAAGGAAACACCAAGTCGGATACATTATAATGATACAAATGGAAGCATATAAATAGAACAAGAAAGTAGAAATATTGTGGTTCTACAAACAATTACAAACTTGTGGTGATAAGAACACCAAGTACAAATAATAGATAAGAGAATCAAACATGTGAGCTTTGTCCACACAGAAAAAAAAACACGACATGGCCCATTCATGTCTTCTTCTGCCGACTACACTTGTGGTGAGAATCCTATTCGAATGTGCCTGCAAAAAAGTGAAATATCCCAATCAAAATCAAGATAAGTGTAGAAGATAATTGTATTCGAAGCAAGCCCAACATCACAAAGGGAGTGAACTCAAAAACATACCTAAGTGGACATCAAATCTATAAGTAGTTTCTGCTTCAGGCCTTCTTCCCTTTCATTTAACGTTTCCTTCTTCATTAGAAAGTCAAGCAGCCCCATTTTTGCCACATCTCGTTTCATGGCAAGTTCTTTTTCCTTGAAGGCCCACATCCTCTCAAACTCAGTCATCACAGAGTTGTTGGCCTCTGCTGTGACCTTCTTCTGTTTTGCCTTTGCAGACTTGACACCAGGTGGCCGTATTTTCGCTTGACCATCCTCAGACCTTCTTTGACCGTCTTCTCGTTCCCAGTTGGCGACTGTGAACTCTCCTCTGCCCTTCTTTTTTAGAGTTTGCATCAGTTTTGGTTGTGGAAAGCTCAGACCATTTTTGGTCGTTCCTCAACTCCTCCCACGCATGCTCCAAATTAAACTTCTTTTTCTGATCGCTGAAGAATATCTAGTGCGCCACCTTTAGGACGTCGTTGTCATTCTCCCCACTCGTTCTCTCTCTTGAAACCGTCTCATACGCGCCATAAAACTTGCAAACAAAGTCATTCATTTTGTGCCACCTTTGCTTACACTGTCCAGCACCGCGTGGTTCACATCTTGGCTTCAAACTATCTGCATAATATGAAGCAATCCGCTTCCAAAAGGCTCATGAACGTTGCTCATTTCCCACAACAAGGTCTTTTGAGGTGTTCAGCCATGAGCTGATGAGGAGAACATCCTCGTACGGTGACCAAGACTTTCTTCCAGCAGTCATATGCGTATCACCAATCTGTGAAGGCTGAGTACACTGAGCACTGAACAAGGGAACATGATCGAAAGCTTCATCATCATGTTGACTGTTCAACAAGTCAACGAATTTGGAGGTCTGTGAAAATGGAAAACCCGAATGCAAATCCATTTCGACAAAGGAAGAAAGAAATGAAAGAAAGAAAGTGAAGAAGGAATGAGATATAAGAGGATTGAAGCCGAGAGGTTTATAGAGATAGATTAGTTGAGAGGATTAAAAAGAGAGATGAGTAGAGAGGATTAAAGAGAGGGATGAGTTTAGAGGATTAAAGAGAGAGAGATTAAAAAGAGAGCTTGAAGCCGAGATGATTAAAGAAAAAGATAAGAGAGAGAGTTTAAAGAGAGACAATACATCAACCTAACAACAATTTAACACTTATCAAAGTGTTACAAGTTATGACCGTTATCTAAACTACACAAAGAATTTACGACCAAGTCTTAAACTACTTCACCTATATCTCTTTCCTTATTCACCTATATCTCTTTACGTACATACAACTTAAATACTTAAGCATTTACTACACTACTTATCATAGTGTTAGGATAAGACTGACCTCTTTAACAATGGGTGAGTGATGTGATTACACAGCAGTAGACTTAGCCGTAGGCAGCATTCAATCGAGTAATCTTAACCTACATTAAAGCGGGAAAGTGGCTAATTCATGCCTCAACCGAGTGGAATGGTACCGATTAGTACCTGTACAATTATGATGTGCTCAAACATGCCTCAACTATTGAAAATTTGAATATTCATACCTAAAATCAATTTTTTTGGCCAAAACATGCATTGACTTATTTTCTGTTAGTCAACTCTGTTAAATTATTAACAGAAATGAGTCAGCTGCCACGGTGAAATCTGTGTTGGAACGATAATACTAAACGACGTCGTTTTAAGTCGAGAAAAAAAAAAAGTAAAATTTTTTGCACATCCTACTATTCGAACCATAGACATCCTCTATAAAACATCCTTGATGCCACTAGACCAAATGCAATTATTAGTTGTAATTCGCACCATTAAATATTTTTACTATTCCTACAATCATTAGAAAAATGAAAAATCTAAAGTCGTTGAAAGTCACGACATTTGTGAGTTTCACCAATGCTCGAAAGGGTCTTCCTTTTATCAAATCTAATCAGCTGTTTGTTGCTTTTAACTTTAAACAATTGAATTAAACTTTGCTGGGTTCTCTTTCGATTCTCAATACTCCTATGAATCGAATTCATTAAACGATTGTTGTTTTAGATCTGGTGAAATAAAAACAAATCGGCCACAGGGTTAACAGGAGGATTCACGAGGAGACATGAGGAAGAAGGAGAAGCAGCAGAAGAAGAATTAAGAGTAGAAATCGGTTAATGGTGACGACAATGAAGATTTCGATCCGTTTGCTCAGTTTTTCCCCAAATTTGAACACAGACCTCGACGAAGAAGAAGATAGATTCTTCATTAAAAAAAGATGAATAACCAAACCAATACGACGTCGTATTTTTTTTTTTAAATAATGGTTATGGGTAGTTTATATTGTTTAAGTGTGCGATACGTTATTAATTACTACATCTGGTCTACTGGTTTTCGGGCTCGGACAAGTAGGGATGGTGCAGGGTTTGAATCTTTGAGCTTGCAAATTTTTTTTTCCCCAGAAATATACAAAACGACATAGCATCATATCTCAGAGATTCCAACGTGGCAAGTGAGTCAGCCCCGTTAACATTTTGACGGAGTTGACTAACAGATAAAAAGTCAATGCATGATTTGGCCATAAAAGTTCTAGTTCGGGAATGAATTTACACATTTTAAAGAGTTCAGGTACGTATAGGCACAGCATCAAAGTATAGGCATTAAATGGTACCAATTCTTGCGGTTAAGGCATGTATCGGCCGCTTTCCCTACATTAAAGCATAAACATTCATCAAACCCAAGTCGTTCAAGAGATATAAAAATTAAAGAAGAGAATAGTTTCTCAGAAATTGTCAAATCTGCAACGCTTGTCTTTATCCCATTCCTGCATAGGCACATATAGGCCGAAGGAACATAGTTTCCCAACAATATAGAACAACAACATAACACCGAAGTAATAAAAAAAAAAAATCATTACAAACATCATTCAAGGTCTTAAAAAGAAAGGATTACAGACTTGAGGATTGAAGTTCTCAAACTAGAACAATCAATGAGCAACTATCAATCAAGTTCTTAAAAAACAACAAACAACAATCCAAGTTCCTAAACCAGTTTCTACGATTACAAAGTTGATTAGTCTTCTAGACTAATTCCCAACACATAAAGAGAAAAGAGATAGCACCAAAAATTACCATAAACAGGATAAGGAGAAAGTCAGAACCTCTCAACTTCATTGCTTCTTTCATCCGAGCCACCTTTTGTTGAATCTCCACCACTACTTCCTTCAATTCTCCTATATCATCAGTGTTTCTATCGATCAGAGGCTCCATGATGTACATCCGATTCTCATATGACTGCAGCAGCTCAGTCCTATGGAAGGGGTCAATCCTTCCACTCACTTGATCAATCCTGATTTGTAGAATTGTAAAATTTTCTTCAACAGCTTCATCCCACCATTTCCAAATGTGATCTGGACTATCCTACACAATGTAGAAGAAAACTTGAGTTAGAAAATTACTATCAAAACGAGCTACAACATATATACTCACAAATCGACCTTACCTCTCCCAAGATTGTAGGACATGTGTAAAACTTCCTCCCATTGTTGCAGGAGCTGTGGACTCTTCAATGATGATGTTTCAGCCACAGTAACATCGCTGAGGAATCCCAAAATTCCCATCGGCTTTAGCACATCCGCTGTCGTAGCTTGCTACCGAGGTACTGCTGTTGGTGTAGCTGATCGGCATCGTCCTGCAAAAGAGACAACAAAACCATTGCTGCATCATAATTCAAGTTGAGAAGCCATTCTACTTTGCACCGAATAAAAAGAGATAACTATGATCAAACCCAAAAACTTGTTCAATCGTAAACCATGTTGCGGATAAAGGAACACAAACTAATGATCAAACCCACCGAATCAACCCAGACAAATGATCAACCCATGAGAAACCCCAAAAGTTTGATCAAACCCACAAATCCCAAAATTTTCAATCGATGTCGTTTGCAAAAAAAAACCGGATTTATGCGATTAAACACAATCCGAAATCAAATTAACCAAAGAGCCCATCATCATTACAAATAAAACCCTTTACAAACAAAAATCGTTTTCGAACAAACATGAAATCGATTTGGGAACATAAGTTAAATCGATTAGGGTTTTGAAAGTATACCTGCGTCGCCGTTCTTGATTACCGATACTCTGATGCCAGAGGACCCAGATGCCGCCGGAAGAACCTCAAATCGCGGTGAAACGCCGTCAGAAAAATCAGGCTCGTCGAATTCGCTTTCGACGGATACACCGAGTAAGAGTCGAGAAAGAAATGTTTCGACCAAAAAAATAATCGAGAGAAATATTATTTATGTCCAATAATTCTCGATCTATTGCACACTTCCACCTGTCATTAAAGACGTCTCTACCTGTCCCCAATTAAGAGATGTCTTCAGTTTATTTGGGCCTGAATCTAACTATTTTAGTGTAAAATAATAGTTAAGAGACGGGCCCGTTTCTGGGATAAAGATGGTCTTACCGCTAGGAAGCAAGCGTTTTAAGTTGTGAATTCTAAATGTTTTTGAGGGTTAATTTAAGTATTTTTTTACCACTGACCATTTTATTGCAATTATTTTATTGAATTTGTTTTAAAATTACCATTAATGAGCAAAAAGAAATTGCTCTGTCTCTTATCTTTTTACCTACTAACTAGTAAATTTGCCCACGTTTCGCGTAGATTATATATGTCTAGTAAGTGTAATTTTATAAATAAATGATTTTATGAACACTAATTTTTTTTTATTTAGACGAATCTGAAATTTACAAATAAACTTTTGATTTTAACAATATGGTTAAAAAATCTTATTAAAGTATATAGATAAGAAATCGAAAATTCTATTCTAGATATCATAATTAACAATATTTCATTAGACATATACATTTCATTTATTGTTTTTTTTTTACTTTTTTCTTAGATTTTTACTAAATTTTAGTTTTATAAAATTATAAAAACCAAAAATTTTTTATAAACATAAGAAATCGTAAACACTATAATAATTAGCGATATTCTAGCATAAATTTTGTTTTTTATTTTGTTTTGAAACGACATTCTAAATTTTATTCTAATTTTTGTTTCTTTTAACATTTTAGTTAGATTTTTTCTAAATTTTAGAAACATAAAAATGGTAAATTTCTATTTTTAAAAAAACGTTTTTATCTAATTTTTTAAAAAAATTTGGTTTAATATAATTTAAAAATGGTTTGATTGACTATGAAATTAAGCATTAAACCATAATAATTAAGACTGATTTGTTTTAAGTTTGTTTTTTTACACATCAGATAAGAACTAATAAAAAAAATGACACATAGTTGTAAAATAAGCTAAACAGTCTTTTTGCTACCGAAACTCATTCTGGAACTGACACATAAGCGAAAGAATTTGAAACTCGCCGTGAGCGTGACACCTAAGCAAATCACTATACCAATAAGTATATAGATTAAAATCTTTATAAATTTAATTTTATATTTTAGTCAGACATATTATTCAACCATAAACCATTAGTATAATCGCATTTTAGTTAGTGCATGGAAAAAAATCACATCTTAGTATAAACGTCAAACAAAAAAAATTGCATTGCCTAAAACTTGACCATTTAATTGGATCTCATGTATATATGATTATATAAAACTAGGAAAAATAATTCAAAATCAGCATCACAGAAAAAATATCTTAAAATACTACAAAACGGTTTTAAATTTCAAAATGACCACAAATTTTAAATATTGTTGAAGTATAGCTTTATAAGATTCCTAACGTTCAAGATAGATTCATAAACACACATTTCTATGTATCATGAACGTTTCATACTCGTTAAATACCATAATATATATATTTCTGAAAAATAGGTAAAGCCCAACCATTTTTCTAAATTATACATCCAACGGCTTGAAGTTGTATTAAGGACGTTAATTAGTAGGGTAAGGTTTTGTTTTTTTTATATGCTCATCAGCTCTACATAAAAAACCGTCGAAGAGGATAAGAATCCGAAGCTTGGGTTTGCTATAGACTTTGGTGCTAAACTTGATGGTTTTTGTAGGATTTCGATTACCGCAACTTTTCATATTGCATTGTAACTACTTACCGATTAATGACTACCGGGTCTGTTATTTTTTTGGGTTAAGGTTAATTAAGTTGTATAAATCTTGTTTTGGTTTCCTCCTTTACATAGACATTGTTTGGACTTTAGAGTGGATAAATTTGAGTCTAGATGAAAAGGAAAAGACACAAAAGACCAACTGGATGAGAGATGGATATCATATTAGACTAGGAAGAAACTGAACCATGACCAGTAAAGGTATGGACTCTTTAAAGAACAAAAGAAAAAGAAAGGATTCCTTGTAGGGACTCTTCCTTGTACAAATGTCCAGTAAATGATAAGGGTTCCTTGTACAACTGTCTAGTAATAAATACATACGTTACGTTTATGCATGCATTCAATGTTTTTGGTTTCATCTGCCTCGACAGTTTACAACTTGTTGGTTTTGCGAATACCCTTTTATTAGGCATGAACCGCATTTGTTATGACGACACTGTCTATTTGGCAGAATATAGTTGGCTCATTTTTGATGGAACAGCGTTATTTCAATTCAATTTCATACCATATGTTGCCTCCATAAATAAATAAGTAGGATTTGAACAAATGTGTTGAAGCTTTTATAAATCAATAATCTTTGGATGTCTACATGACTACTTCTAGAAATCTTATATTAATATCAATTTTTTGTTTGGTGAATATTATTCAAAAATATAAAAACGAATTTCAAAAATAGATATTCAATCGAAGAAACCCAAAATTTACTATTTTCAAATAATATAATTATAACATGTATAACATGTCATATTTCATCTTAAACATAAAAATAAATCAAAAACACATTTAAAATATAAATAAATTAGGTTCCTTAACCCGAAAAAAAAGTCGATCTATAAAAAAACCGAATACCCATGTCTAATTTTTGCACACTTAGTGATTAATTATCATACTTCTCGTTTTAGACGAAATTTTCTGGTCTTGTATTTCATAAAATATTGACCCATGATACTGTAGATTGAGAGAGACTAGAGTGGTAAGTAAGATGTGTGGTACACAAAAACACAAAGACAAAAAAAGTAAGTAAGATGTGTGGTAGAGAGAGTGAGTGCGTAGCTTTGAAATAAATGCGTTGACGCTTCTATATAATCAAGAAACGTTGTCTGTGAAATTCACAAAAACAAGAAAGCAAAAGACTGTTCTTGTCACATATTTATTACCATTGTTGAGAAGATGGAGATGGATTCTTCTTCACCTCGAAAACCAATTCATGTAATGCTCGTGTCATTTCAAGGACAAGGCAGCGTCAGTCCTCTTCTTCGTCTCGGCAAGCTAATTGCATCGAAAGGAACAGTCGTCACCTTCGTCACTACAGAGTTTTGGGGCAAGAAAATGAGAAAAGCCAACAAGATCGTCGACGGCGAGCTTAAACCGGTTGGTTCCGGTTCAATCCGGTTTGAGTTTTTCGACGACGGATGGGAAGAAGACGACGTAAGGAGAGGTGACTTCGATCTCTACCTCGCACAGCTCGAAAAAGCCGGGAAACAAGAACTGCCCAAACTCGTGAGGAGATACAATGAAAACAACGACCCTGTCTCTGCTCTGATCTATAACCCGTTTGTCCCATGGGTCGGACACGTGGCGGAAGAGTTCAACATTCTCTACGCAGTTCTCTGGATCCAGTCTTGTGCCGTTTTCTCTGCTTATTACCATTACCTAAACGGCTCTGTTTCTTTCCCGACCAAAACAGAGCCTAAGCTCGACGTGAAGCTCCCTTGCGCTCCTGTCTTGAAATACGACGAGATCCCAACTTTTCTCCATCCTTCTTCTTCTCACTTCACAGCACTGCGAGAAGCTGCTCTAGCAATATTCAAAAATCTTGATAAGCCCTTCTGTTTTCTCATCAGTTCTTTCGACGCATTGGAGAAAGACGTGATCGATTACATGTCGAAGCTCTGTCCGATCAAAACTGTTGGGCCGCTTTTCAAAGTCGCTAAGACGGTGGTCACTGATGTGACCGGCGATTTCTGCAAACCGTCGGATCAGTGTCTCGAGTGGCTAGACTCGAGGCCGAGATCTTCCGTTGTCTACATTTCTTTCGGGACGGTCGCGTATTTGAAGCAAGAACAGATGGAGGAGATCTCTAAAGGGGTTTTGAAGTCTGGTTTATCGTTCTTGTGGGTGATTAGACCTCCATTGGAGGATCTACACCTCGAGGCACACGTGGTGCCTAAAGAACTCAAAGAAGCGTGTGATCAAGGGAAAGGAAAGATCGTGGAATGGTGTCCGCAAGATCAAGTCTTGGCTCATCCTTCGTTGGCGTGTTTCGTTACTCATTGTGGATGGAACTCGACGACGGAGGCTTTGACTTCGGGAGTTCCGGTGGTTTGTTTTCCTCAATGGGGAGATCAAGTGACCAACGCGGCTTATATGGTTGATGTTTTCAAGACGGCGGTGAGGCTTGGCCGTGGAGCTGCGGAGGGGAGAGTTGTGCCGGGGGATGAAGTGGCGGAGAGGCTTTTGGAAGCGACGGTTGGGGAGAAAGCGGTGGAGCTGAGGAAGAATGCTTTGAAATGGAAACTGGAGTCGGAAGCTGCGGTGGCTCCGGGAGGTTCGTCGGAAAAGAATTTCCGGGAGTTTATGGAGAAGATCGGGGTGAAGGATAACGGAAAATAGACAAAATAAATGTTTATTTATTGTTGTTGTAATAAGAAGCTTTATTTGGTTTGCAATTGTTTGTTTTCCATGGAATAATTGAACAATTCAAGTCTGGCGCACGTTTGTTTCTATTTTAGAACTTTCATATGTATCCTTTTGTTAATTTTTTGTTCTTACTTACGTAATTTTCCCAATATAGCAAGAACACAATTTCTGTGTTTCTTTTCATTCTGTTTTTTCTTCTTAAATTGGATGGCACGTGCAAGAAGTTACAGAATCACACTAGTGACACAAAATGGATCCCAACCAAGCTTATGTCTCAACATGAAAATAACAGCATTACAAACTTTTTCACATAAACAACATAAGTTTGGACTTAACGTATAGTTGTTATTAAGAAAACAGAAACACAGTTTCTTCTAGAACTGACCTTGAAATTACGATCTAGAGATCCATACAGAGGTAAGAGATGACCGATCCAGCTCTCCTTATCGTCCTCTCGCTCACTTTCCATTTCTCTATCAACACCTTTTTGATGTGTGGACAGCTCGAGACGACAGTAGCCACTCCAGCCGAAGTGATCCCTGTACAGTAAACCATGTGACAAGTCTCCAGTAGTTTGCACCTCTGTAAAAGATGGTTCAGACCATTGTCTGTTATATGATGGCAATGGGACAAGACCAAGTCTTTGAGCATTGGACATCCTTCTCCAAGCTCAGCCAAGGACATGTCTCCAATGTTCTGAGTTTGTGATCAAACAAACCCGAGCTTGAGACCTCAGTAAAACGCTTTAGTCTAAAGAAAAGATAGGGAAAACGAAGAGGTTTGGTTTGGTTTTCACTTACCTGAAGTACACTAATGTCGAGGTGAGTGAGTCGAGGACAGCCTCTGGCTATTGCTGAGATTCCAGCATCTCCAATTTGATGGCAGCCACTTACGTTTAGTTGTTGTAAGGAGCAACCTTCTCCAATGGCGATTAATGCTACATCTCCAACTCTGGATAAATCAAACTATTAGCTTTTGTTTCGGTACTGATGAAGAAAAAGATTCAAAAGAGTTGGAGGAGTTACTTATCGCAAAACCGGAGACTAAGTTCGGTTAGTGATTTGCAATGCTTTCCAACAGCTATAACTCCTTTGTTTCCAATCTAAAAAAAAAACGCAAATAAGGGTTTCTATGTCAATAGGTTAGGAGAACACTTTATATGAAATGAAGAAGAGATGTGAGATTATGCCTCATAGCATCTGCGGATATGGAGTTTCTTGAGGTTGCGACAGCCTTTAGCAATACTGCACATAGCGATGTCTCCTATGCCTGAGCAGTCTACTAAGTGAAGTATTTCTAAGGATTTACAACCCTTTCCAATTGCTTGAAGAGCAGAGTTACCAATCCTTTGGCAATACAATAAAGCTAACTCACTTAGGCGCCTGCATACATCCGAAAAAGAACGGCTTTAGTCTGTGATTTCAGATGCTGTAAACAAGTAGAAGAAAGCGAGAAAGAAAATGTACGGGCAAGATCTTCCAATTGCCTCTAGTCCATGAGTACCAATGTTGTGGCATCCATTAATTTCTACACGCGTAAGTTCCTTGCAACCATGAGCAATAGCTTCTAAACCTTTGCAACTCACAAAGTAACAATCACTTAGAGTAAGAGTTTTCAGCTTCTTACATCCCTTACCAATGGCCCGCATGCCCCTGAAACACAAAACCAAATCAGGTCAAATATCATCCTACACAAGGCCATCACAAAGATACAAAAAGGACAATCAAGATCACAGAGGCAAGTGTCCTTCAGATCCTCAAACCAACGCTGAGCGCATCTTGAGTTTACGTGCCATATACACTCAAAAGGAACAAGATAACGCAAGCACCAGGAAAAATATAGATTGTGCTCATCAACAAGCCAAAGGTACTTCAAAAAGGAACAAGATCACTAACTTATCAGTAAACTGCTGGAAGCTATACAAAGCCAATTGCTCCAACGAAGAACACGAGTCTCCCACTGCGGAAAATGCCTCATCCGTCACGTTAACACACTGGAGCTTCAGATTTTTCAAACGGTTGCATCCCTGAGCTACCGCCACCACTCCTTTATCATGGATGTATTCCGAATCCAAAAACAATACTTCTAAAAGTTTACAGTGAGAACCAACTGCTTCCATAGACAAATCTGTTATTTTTGCTGAGGCAGCAACACCGATGGACTTCAAGGACTTTGCACAACCAACAACAAGATCAATAACCCCAGCATCAGTTAAGCCTTCACAAAAACGCAGGTTTAATTCTTCGAGCTGCTTACAATACTTTCCAACAGCTGCTAAGCCTTGATCTCCAACATAGCAACCCTAAAGACCACATCCTAAGCATATGAGGTGATATTTTTCATCAAGAGGATATTGAAAAAGAATGGTAACAGTTCCACATAAGCCAGCAAGTATATTAGCAGATCAAACTAAAGCTTCTTTATACAACTTCAACCACAATAGCTACCTGAAACATAAGAGAACTAGATTACCTGTAAATCCAGAGATTTAAGAGAAGTGCACTTCTGAGCAAGGGATTGCAAACCAACACTTGAAACATTAGGGCACCATATAAGGCTCAAGTTTTCTATCTTTGGGAATCCATTGGCAAGAGCAGTCAATCCTGCATCAGTCAAGCTGCAAGACTCGGCGTTCTCAGCTTCAGAATTCGTCTTATCAGTCAGATCCTTACGTTTACTCGAGGAAGGCGATGACTTGTTTTTCCCACGCTTCCTTTTCTGCATATTGAGTTTTCTTAAGTCCTCTCTATGATAAGAATTAAAATACCAAACAACACATACCTAAGTGGCTGAAGTTTCCCTAAAAATAGGTTCTCCTAAAGAAAGTGATAAATTTTCAGAAATGGGATCAATGTAGAGCCAGCAAAAACTTGAAATCAAAATGAATTCATTTAGAAACTGAGTCTATAAACAGTGTCCAGTTTCCACCCAGAATCAAATAAAGCCTAATTTCAACTAAACCCAAAACCAATTCAAATGAAGATCCTTACAAAATTGACTAAATTTCCAGAATTTAGATCAATGTAGAGCAAAAAAAAAAAACTCGAAACCAGTATGAATTTAATCAGAGATGAATCTGAAACAGTGCCCATAATCCAATATAACGCCTAATTTCAACCCAATTCGAATCCAGATGCATTATAAATATCAACATTCGATTGAATTGCAGAAGTTATATAGAAATGCCTAATCCGATCTCAAATTCAACAGAAGAATTCGATCTCAATAAAAAACAGATCAGAGAAAACATACGGAAGGGGGAGAAAGGGAAGGAAGGGAGGCGGAGAGACGCTCGTCGACATGAATGGAGGTAATATGGAGGAAGCGGCGAGAGAGGAGGTCAACGAAGAAGTCTGGAGAAAAAGAGGCACCGATACGGAGGGTGGTCCGGCTAAAGCGCTCGAGAGATAGCCATCGCTTGCATACGAGAGAGCAAGCGTCGCGGCTGGGTTTTGATTCAAGTCGCCGGAATATCTCGATTATCAGTTCCTCCGGCAAGCAATTGTTAATCCGATCATGCCCTCTCATGATTATGATCCAGACTCCAGAGAGAGAGAGAATTCAGCAGTTGATGATGATGCGGTCGTTTTCTTTTTTCGCGTTATGCCTTTTGTTCTGTACTAAAGAGGATATTCTCTGTAAGGTAAATAAATTTTTATTGGATAAGATTCCATCTATGGGTGTATGTATACGACAGGTAACGAATGTTCCACCAAAACTACCAAATTTATTTCAAGTTGATAAATCGACTTTTGCTTGATTATGATTTACCAAAAACGTTTAACCACATAGCAACATCATATACTAAATTCTCAAAAACAGAAATCAGATTATACACACAAATGTAAATCACATAAAGCCATTGTTGGGGGTTCTGTTTAATAGTTATAAAATCTCATCACTGAAGCAGCATCATCATCCATCATCGGTGTGCTTTCTTCTTCAGTTGTCACCTTGCCTCAACACACGCAATATGGTCAAGAAGAGGTTGAGGATGTCCAAGTAAAGAGCCACTGATGCGAGAATGTATTCGTCGTATGTGAAACGCTTGATGAGATTGTCGGTATCATATACTATGTATCCGCAGAATACCAATGCGCTGATTCCTCCATATATGGCAACAGAGGTCGGGCCAAGAGGGAAGAACATCTGCAATATTATGATAACCAAACAAACATTTCAGGTTTTTTCTTTTGGGTGTTGTGTTTTATTAGTGAGGAGGGAGGATTCTAAGAGACAGACCTGGATGAAGCTGGTCACTATAAGAATGATGAGGCTGGTGAAGAGAATGGGTCCAAGGAAGCTGAAGTCTTTTCCTTTCTTTGCCGCCCAGAAAGTGTATGCGGTTAGAGACCCAACCACAGATAGAGTCAATATCAAGGCTTCAAGGACGATTCTTCCTGATAAACCACGTACAATGAAGAAGAAATGGATTTTTAACACACTGCTATTTCAAGTTTTAGGCAAAAATGTATTCTTTGAGAATATGGTGCGTAAAAAGCAAGCGGCTAGAACTGCAACGAAATCCCAGATGATGATATTGAAAGGGAAGAGATATTAACCTTCTGTCATAGCACAACTGACACCAACAGTGAAGCTCAATGAGATAGTGAAGAGGGCAAGGAGTATCAGGTTAATAGGATGCTTCTGGTGGTAAATGTGCAGAGGCCAGATTACTGCAAGTATTGTCAACCAAATCAACAATAAACCTTCTCAACACAATGAAAAATAAAATGAATAGCTGATGAACTAATGTGCATATAATACACAGCTCATCTCCAGAATCTGTGCTAGACAAATTCTTCCAACGCATAATAATACAAATTCAAGGTACTAACAAATTACTATATGAGCACATGATGCCACTCAACACAGAAACTAAGAGAAATTGATAAGAAGTGCAGAAACATGAAGGCATTTAGTGCAAGAATCAGGTCGACCAAACTTAGCAATCAAGACTAAAAGAAACTATCTATGAACAACGAATCATATCGACAACATCATTTAATCCCTAAATTCAGGCAGCACAAAGTAACATTTGAATTATACAATCTAGGCGTAAATCCAGATTCACTTAACCCTAAGCCGACAACGCAGATCAAACCGTGAGAATTCTAATCAACGCATCGCATCGAAAATATACAACAAAAAACGAGGAGGACGAAATGGAAATCTGATGCAACGAAAGAGCGAGATCTAGAGGAAAAAACAGCAGGAAACTACGTACAGACGAAGGGGACGATGCAGAGGAAAAGAAGAAGGCCGGGAGATGCGGTCAAGACATCGTTGACGGGAGGATTAAGGACAACGACGGCGGAGATAAGCGTGGTGAGGAGGAGCTGGGCTGAGAGAATCCCATAGACCTTGCGTATGAATCCCCATCGGAGTTGATTCTCGCCGAAGCTAAGCCCTGGGTAAAGCGTCGCCTCTCCGACTCCCATCTCCAGGTCAATATCCTTCCCGCCGGCGCGATCTATGCCGCTCATGCTCACGCTCGCGTATCCGTACGGCTTCTCCATGGCTCAAAGCAGATTCGGTAAACGGTCTTCGAGAAGCAGATCTGATGGACTTGGGATAAATTGAGTTTCGGATTTTTGAGAATTATATATTCCCGTCGTTGCCCCGAAGGAGCCGAGTCATTTCCCTCCTCCTCCAACAAGATGATGTACACGTGGCAAGATGAGCGGTTGAGATTTGTTACGATAACGCGTATAGTCATAATACCATTATGTTATTTATTTACGTCGCTGTTAAGCTTTAGAATTTTAAAGTTTTTAATGAACGAAATAAACAGATTAGAGGAGGAAATAGACAACATGAAATACAATCAGATACATAACTAAAGTTTCCAAAACATAATAAAATCAAAGAACTGTTTTGACTTTTGACGATAGTAAGATCTGAAAAGTCTTACTAGTTAACGTAATATCAAATTTGTTATTTGCCTTCTTTTATATTTTCTTTTGATCTGATGACAATTTCATATCTGACTATATATTTCTCACATGACTGAAACTCCATAGTTCCAAAATTTAGGTCGCATAAAAATTTTAAAGGATTATTTTGGTATATACCAAAAGTTACAACTTAATTGAATATATAATAAAAAATAATTAAAAATTAAGTGCTTTATGGTATATCAGCAAAACTTCACATTATTATCTCTATATCCAATTGACATCACTATAATTTATAACTGTAAATAAAAAAAATTAATTGACAGTAACATTTAATGATCGTCAGTTGGGTTAGAGATAGTTTTGATAACTATCTTCTGGATAATGACACATGTCACATGCCATAAGATATAGTGTATCATATGTGGTAGATGCGACATAATGGTCTATGTATTATGGTCATCGTTTGCTAACTTATATATATATATATATATCCGATAACTACATTTGAGTATTATCGTTTGTCCGGATTATAATATGTAATACAAGTTAACATGTTAATAATGCTTATTGTTACATGTTAACAATGATATATGTTAACATCTCTACTTGTTAACAATGATATATGTTAATATCTCTACTAGTTAACAATAATGTCTAAATATTGTAACATGTTAACATAGTATGTTACTATAGTGCAATAAATTATATGATACGTATTAACGTGCTAACAAAAATATCATAGATTTATTGAGATGTTAACAATAATAGGTAGTGTTTGTTGGCGTGTTATCCGATATTTGGTAGCGTGGTAACAATAATAACAAGTATTGTCCAAATGTTATAAGTACAATATTATTGTTAATATGTTAACATACTAGTTAGTAATGTAACACGAAAGCATCTGCAATTTTTTGAGAAAATCCAAAAAAGAAGAAAAAGAAATATCGAGATACCAATTCAACAAAAATGGAAGAACACATCAAAATGGAGACCGTCTGAGTTTAGAAACAAAATAGAGAATGCCGGAATCAAAATGATCATCAGATAAACAACAAGGATATCACTTTCGAATTATAGAGCGAAATTTAGTTAGAGGTGATTTTTCCTAAAAAAATGTTTTAGTCATTGATTTTCTCTTTCTCTTTTGCGGTCGTTTTCTATTTTACCAATTATCTATCGAAAACGCAATCGATTGTGTATGAGAGAGACATAAATTTTCCTGACAATTTTTTCTTCTATCTGGACCCACATCATGAGACAGAAAAGAGATGAAAAAATAAATGCATTAGGGGTTTATTAGGAATTTCTCAGTTAACAATGTCGATTGAATAGTATTTTTCAGGATAAGTTAATTTTCATGTTATTTGTTGGTATATACTCATATTATTCAATTTTAAACATGTATTCCTTCTGTTTTACAAATAGTATCATTTTGAAATATTTCACATAAATTAAGAAAACTAATAAAAATTCTGTTTTACCCCTTATTAATACATTAAACAAAAGTTATTTCTCTAATTAATACATAAAAACAATAGGGTTAAAATTAGACTTTAAAGAAAAAGTTTGCATTGAAAACACAAAAATGACACTCTTTATGAAACAAAAACAAAATGTTAGAATGGCATTCTTTGTAAAACAGAAGGCATATTACATTGATTATTTTGGATTTTGGTAGGTAAGTTGTATGTTTAATCATAGTTTCAAGAAGATTCATCTTTAACACTTAGTGTTATTTAACACACATGCATGACGGACAATTGGTCAAGAAAAGAGATCTTTTAGTTTGAGTAAGATTCACTTTTACACGTTTGCAAATTTTGGTTTTTAACCTTACAATCTCTGCCCACAAAATCAATCCAAACATAAAGACATACATAGTACTGATCAAATGTAACTCGGCGAATAAGAGTAGAGAACACAGATCACTTTCTTGAAGCGGTTTTCAAGATTCCTGATGTGAGTGAAGAGGAAGGATAAAAAGCTTTGCGGATTTTGAGCACATTCCACGCAGTACCAGCTGCGTGACCCACCGTGCCTAGCACATCTCTCGTGGCTTCACCGGCGTTCTCGCCTAACCTGTCCATGTCATATAATCCTCACTTCATGTGAGACATGTACTGAAGATGTAATCAAAAATGTGATCCTAAATTGATGACTTTGAAAGTGAAAACTTACCTCTCACTAACCATTCTGGTAGTAGCTTTGGACGTAGCAGAAAGAGTTTGTCTCTCTGCAGCTTCAGCAGCGTCTAATATCTTATCTAATATCGAAATCAAATAAAGTGTTTTTAGTATTATCATCAAAATGGAGCTAGCCAGTAACTAAATAATCTTAAACTTACTAAGAGCATCAAGTGAAGCCAAGAGAACTTCCCCTGGAACCATTGAGAAAAAAGCTTTCCCTGGTTTCGACTTTACAATGGGAGCCATCACCGAACCACTCACTATTCCCACACCGTTCAACATCGTCTTGCTCAATTTCTCGGTTGCTCTCGAAAGTTTCCTCACTCTATATATGCATATATATATGGTTTCATAAGAGTAAAAAAGATATCAAAAAGAATCACTCTTATGGGAAATAAAATGATTATAATACTCACCGTTGAAGATTCTTGTTGATTTGATTCTTGTTTTTGGTTGCATTTCTTTGTGACGACGCACCACCACCCTTCTTCTCAGCCTTTGTAATCATAGTTTCACCACCTTTGTGAACCTGTTCTCTCATAAAACAAAACCCAAGATTCAAGAATTTGTGAACAATGAAAAAAAATTCAAACTAAAAATTTCTCAAAATCATCTGAAATGATGCCAATAGTCTAAAGCCGGCTCTTACCAAATCTAGTGAGATTAAGATAGTGATTTTAAATACTCGAATTAACTAAATTATCCAACCAGTTATATCTAAAAATACACTTTGGATAATAATTTTAGATACCCGAATTATCCCGTAATTAACTTGTAGCTGCTATTACCTGATTATAGAAAGTTTAATTCCCCAAACATATGGTCAATGCGTCATTTTTTTTCTAATTCTCCCAAATCTAAAAGCCTTAATTCAGGGGGAATTTAATGAGAGTGATTATAAAAATAAACCTGATAAGTGTAAGCATTACTACATTTGAACATTCCTCTAATGATATGCCCTGTCCCTCCAGCAATGGCTTTAGCCACAACGTTGTTATAATCTTCGATTTTAGGCGCAAACTCTTTCCAGTCGATTCCATTACTACCACGCGAAGAAGAAGAAGCAGAAGCAGAAGCAGAAGAAGACGAAGAAGAGAAACAAGAGTTCTCTCTCAAGAAATCGTCTAGCAACTCGACACTGTTCACGAAAACTACGTCGTTTTGGTCTATGGGGAAGAACGTGACGCCGTAGCTGAGTGGGTCTCCGTCTTTGACCGGAAGCGTGAATAGGTAGTCACGAGAGTCGAGTTTCACCACTGGCTCGTCTTTAATCACCGGCCATTGTAGGTCATTTCCAATCCTCACGACCATAGCTAAAGCTACGCCGTTGTCTGAGACCTGTACGAGCTCGAAGTCTCCCGCGGCTAGCTCCACCGCTTCGGATCCGTCGATGAGATGGGCTCTGCATCCCTGAATCTGCAACAGCACTTCTTCTCTCGCGGTTCGGTGAGATGAGAACACGGCTTCTTGTTGTTGTTGTCCGTACGAAAGTGGTGGTGTTTCGGTTCTTGGAGTCTTTGATCTGAAACATCTCATCGCGTTCTTGTTTCTTGCTCTGTGGTTTCTGATATTTTCAAGATTGGCTTTTTCTTTTTCTTTAAGGCTTTATCGGGTTTTTTCATTTGTGTGTTTATCGAGTGAATTATTAAAAACAAGAAATTATTGATTACATAGTTTTTCACTTTCGGTGCTAATCGAGGCGCGATATTTTTTTGGCTGTCAATAAGGACTCAACCTGACCACATTTGTTTTTGGCAATTATAAAATCCCGTATATATAAAGGAATTTTAATTAATAATCCCTCTGACATGGCAATTTGTGTTTCAATTCGAATTATTTTAGGTTAGAATCTGATTATACACTTCCAACATATTAAACAGTTAAAATGTTGATTACATAATCCATTAATGAATCATACATTTTTAACTTTTTCAATTGTGGTGATAATCAAAATGTCGCCGGTAGCTTTATCGTACCAAATAAATAAATCAGCGATGACCATGTCTTTGGCTGCTTGCTGCTTGTTCGACTGGCTAGGCATGCCGGTTTGTGGACCATCAGACATTTAGACCATGAGATATAATTAAGCAGGTCAGATCCGTTCTAGCCAACATATCAGTTTGGTCTAAATTTCTCCACATCATCGAAGATATGTGAGTCTCTTATCACCAATTGGTAGCTGCAGTGAAGCTTGCCTTTTTATACCTTATAAACGGGAGGTCCTAAATGTAGCATTTCGTAAACCATGGATTTCACTAACTCTAATTTGTTCACCATTTAGAAATTCAGGTCTAAAATCAATTACAAAATTCACTTCAATTTTATCATTATTTGTTTTTGAATAAAATCAGAATTATTTATTTCTAAGAAAACTCATATATCAAATTTCACTATTCGGTTCCGTTATCAAACTAGAGGAAACTAAAAACACAACGACAATCGGATTTTAGACAAAAGAAAACTCTTAATCTTACATAAGGGACCTAAATAACTTGGATTTAAACACAATCGTAGTATGAAACTGAAATATAAAACTTGTTAGGGAAAATACCATGCATGTGAAAGAATTGGCTTATGCACAAAAGTTTAAGATGAGATTTAGATCATTCATAAACCAACAAATTTATAACAATACATAATAAGATGACAGAAGAAATGTTTATCTGATTACAGAAAATATTGAGCAACAGAACTATTATCATTGTGAATCTCAAAGAAGGCAAAGCAAGCGAATAGGGATCGGTCTTGAAAGAGATATATCTTGGGATTCTCTGTGTTGTAGCATCCTCATCTAAACTATTTCTTCTAGAATCACAGTCTTGCTAGGGAACTCTTGCTAGAACACTCTTTTAATTAGTCATTTTTAAAAACATCTATATATTTACAAGTAATTCGTTTAGTGTATAATGAGTATCTAGAGATCAAATTTTGTTTGAATAATTATTTTCAGAATATATAGGTCTCCAGCAAACTCAAATCAGTTTGGACTGGAAAACAAAGAAGAAATCAAGAAAATATGCCTTGTGATAGCAAGAGAGTTGGCATATATCCATGAAGAAGCGAGGCTGAATACTTGAAACAGAGACATAAAAACGTCAAACATCTTGTTGGACCATAATCTGAGTCTTAAGATCTTTTTTATTGGGGTTAATATATATATATATATATATAATATATATATGATTTAACTATCTAAATTTCTTCCTGTTTTTCTTTGTATTTTGTTCATTGCTTACTGAGCTTAAACGAAAAGTAATTTTAACATAATACATATTAGAGTTTTGCATACTGGTTTTACTTTTTTTTAAATGATATATCAAATACTTTTCGTTCACAATATTAAGGGAAAACGACGTATTTCTCCATCTAAAGTTTCATATAGTAACAGATCCACGCGAAATTTCGAATTTGTTATATATCTCCTTCCTTTTTAAGAAAGTTGTAAAGCTATTTCCCTCCAATTCAAAAGTTCTAAATGTATATAGCCGTGAAATTAAAGTTCAAAACTAATAAACACCTAAACCAAAATTTACATTGGTTTACTATTTACCAAAAATAGTGTAACTCTCTCTCTCTCTCTCCAGAGCTCGCTGGATCTCTGTTGTCTTCTCCGTCTCTTGGATTTGTTTACCTCTCAACCTTTCTCTCACAGTCCGGAGCAGATGCGCGTCTGATCAGGGTTTGAGACCTTAGTCAAAGTGATTGAGATTTCAATTCTCAAATCCAGAGATTATGGACTGCTCAATCCCGAATCCCGAATTAAATCTCTGATCTTTGTAAATCTGTATCTAATTTGTTAATTTAGAGATGATTAGATCTTTTTTCCCATATATGATTTTGGATTTTTCCAGTGTATTGGTATTGTGTAAGCACAATATCGCGATCTGTAATTTTCATAACTTTTTTGGTCAAACAAATACTTTTTTCATTACTTAGAAGCCTCAAACTCTATCGACAGAGTAAAAAGTACAACCAACAAAAGGGAGAATACATGAAAGCAAGGCAACAAGTGCCGAAAGATAGATTGACAATACAACTCATAAAAAGCCATAAGAAATCGAAAAACTAAAACGATCTCATGAACTTCTTGAAAGACTGCATCCAATGCAACCCAAAGGGTTACAAACACTGCATCACAAGCAGAGAAGACCATCAGCCGGGAGGAAGAACCTTGCAATACCGACGATGCTTGAACATCCAAACCACTCAACAAAGGAGGAAATATTGGAAAGAGAAACTTCTCCATAAAGGAGGTGACGGGAAGACAAATACCCGATGGAACCTGAATCACCGGAGGAGACGTAATGTTTGATTCATCTTCAATCTGCCACCAAAAGAAAGAAAACAAACTCACAGCACCAAAAACCGGATTGAGTACAATAGAGAAACTGCATACCGCAGTAAGGACACTGTATTCCACAGTAAAGACACTGCAAACCGCAGTAAAAGATCTCACCAAGGCGACAAGTATGCCACTACAGGGCAGAAGAGTGGAACCGAAGGAGACCAAAACCATCATGACATAACAAATCAAACCCAGATTCCACAAAACCAGAGCTACCCACTCAACAATCATCCGATAACATTCCAAAGCAGAGGAAACAGAGAGTGAAGAGCAGGAGCAAACCTGGAGGACCGGGAGAGGAAAGGAGATGGTATTGTCGGAGGATGAGCTAAACCCTCTGAGAAAAGCGATCATGGTGGTGGTCCGACAGAAGCGAGCTTCGAAATCTCCAAAACCAACTGCAGAAAGGCATCTTTTGGGTAACAGATGACAAACAATGAGGGGCAGCCTTGCAGGGAGGAGAGGAAGACTCACTGGCGACGACAAGCCAGATATGACGGAGGAGAGCAGAGGAGGGCGCATCGCTTTAAAATCAACCATCCAACGAGTCATGGAGACGGCAAGACGGCGAGATGATGTGTGAAAACAGCTTGACGACGAGAAGCAAAGGAGCAACATGATGGGAGAGACTGAAGACGAGACGATGGGAGAGACTGAAGACGAGACGACGCGGAGGAGAAAGGTGTCGGCCCTTTCTCACGGCCAAAGGCCGGAGAAAGGCTCGACGCAAGGAGGCAGATCTGAGTAAAGGAGGAGGGGAGAGGCGAAGCGTCGACAAACGGCCGGTGAGAGAGGAGGAGAAGCTAGATCTGAGCAAAGGAAGGAGGCGCCTAGGGAGGTGTGCCCGAGAGAGTTTTTAGGGCGAACATCATATTTGAATGATCAAAATTGTAATTTTCATAACTAGATTGCTAATTTAGTTTATAATAATGGAAATGAATTCATCTTGCAAGCAACTCTTTTTTCTCTATTCAATAATTTTCACAAATGCTGCTCATCTAAATCTCGATCCGATTTCACGGATGATAGTGACCAAAAATAACTAAAAGTAATCAATGCGTTGACTTTACTAGTGGGATTCGATTTTGAAGTCATTACTCACGTCAAGAAATTAAGAAGAAGAACATTTGCCCAGTAAACATCACTGTCTAAAGGTGATTTAGGGTTTCCTGATTTGGGGATTTTTTAAATTGTAACGAGAAGAGGATGTCATGTTGGGTCGGGTTATAAATTGATTTTAATGTGGTTGGGTTTTAAAATATGGTTTAGAATTGGAAAATACGATTTCATATACGGTTAAGCCACAAACAAATCAAACCAACAATTATGGTTACAAACTTTTGAATTAGAGGAAAATAGGTTAACAACTTTTTTAAGAAGGAGATATATGACGAGGTCAAAACTTCGTGTAGATCTGTTACTATATGAAACTATAGAGGGGGAAATACGTCGTTTTCTCCAGTATTTAAATTAAAGTATATATTGCTAAAACACTAATCTGAGAAAAAATCATTTAATTGTTAATAATACAAAAATGAAAGAAAACATAGAAACTTTCATCAGGTTTTCATACAAAGAAACTTTGTTTTCTTTCTGGACCCAAGATGGTAAGTGGGTAATGGTAGAGTTAGGATTGTGGAACAAGACCACCGAGAAACTCATTGTTGTGCTGTGTCTCCTCCATCAAATTATTTGATTTACTCGCACACTCTAATATTCTCCTATGTACTGTATATGTTAGTCTTTTTTTCCTTTAACCTATACGCTGCGTCTTGATGATCTCAATAAGTAAGTCTTTAATTTGAAGTCATGGCCAGTCTTGAGGTGAGGCTATATAACCTGAATAAAATTTGAATCACTCTCAAAGCCCAACCACATCATTGCCCAAACAAGAGCCGTACTCTCTGCCTCCAATATAGACCATAATCTAGAGTAAGCCTTGGGGACTGTACCATCTTCTAACACCACCCTCATTAACTCTCTGATTCTCAATACTCATCCTATTCCACACAACTTTTCATATACGGTATCTTCTATGTAGGATCTATTTTACATTTGAAAGTACCTTGAAGTGATGGAGTCCATCAGATCACATGTCAAAAGTAATTGAGAGCCTCCCTCCTCTGTTTTTTTTTTATTGTTATGTTCTTCATTTAAGACTTTAATTAAAGTTAGGATAGTGGGAATGATCATCATAAACATAATTTGTGATTTGAAGATAAGAAACAAAAACAAAACACAAAACATATTAATTTGAAAAAAAAAACATATTAATTTGATACTCCATTAAAAATAGAATTAAAGAGTAAAATTATTATTATCTGCTCGTAACATGGTTAAGATTCTCAATGGGTCTGGTCAGTAGTTATTGATTACACAGTTTTTCAAATTCGGTGCTAATCGAGGCGCGATATATTTTGCTGTCAACAAGGACCCAACCTGACCACATTTGTTTTTGGCAATTATAAAATCCCTAATATATAAAAGAATTTTAAATAATAATCCCACTGACATGACATGGTAATTTGTGTTTCAATTCGCATTATTTTAGCTTATAAACTGATTATACACTACGAACATATTAAACAGGTGAAGATTAATTATATAATCCATTAATGAATCATACTAATTTAGCTTTTTCAACGGTCGTGATACTCGAGACGTCACCGGTAACTTTATCGTACCGGAGAAACAAATCGGCAACGATCAAGCAAGCTGTGAACGTGACCATATCCTTGGCTGCACACTGCTTGTTGGACTGGCTAGGCGTACCGGTTTGTGGACCATTAGACCAGAAGAGATAATTAAGCAGTTCAGATCCTGTTTGACCAATATACCGGTCTGGTTTAAATTCTTCCGGATCGTCGAAGATGTTAGCGTCTCTCATCACAAGCGGTTGGTAGCCGCAGAGAAGCTCGCCTTTCTTTACCTCAAAAACGGCGTCGTGTGAGCTTATCTTGAAAGCTTCTCTGGCACGTGCGAACTGAAGAGGAACTGGAGGACTTAAACGCAGCGTTTCATAAACCACAGATTTCACCAGCTCCAATTTGTTAACCGTCCGGAAATTCAAACCCGACCTGGACCCGCAGATTTTTCTGACTTCCAATCTCAGCCTCTCCTGGAGGCCGGTATTGTCCCCGACAATTTTCCCGATCAAAGATGGTAAAAAGACGGAAAAGCCCCCGTATGCATTGAAACCCAATACGAAGAGGAGATTATGGACCGACTCGTCTCGGGTCAACCCGAATTCCTTTTCACCTAACCGGAGAACATCTCCAGCGTGTTCGCTGATGAAATTGTAGAGCTTCTTGTAATCTCCGGCGACGAGGAAGAAAGGGTAAGCCCAGGAATGGAGAAAGATCTCCTCAAGCGGCGGAAGAAGGCCGATCTTGGTGGTGGGGATGACCTGAATCGCGAGCCATTTATTGAGCATCTTCCACCCGTTCTCGGCGATGTCCGGCGATACGGAGGGGTTTACGCCGGCGAGGGAGATGGTGAGGAAACTGAAGATGCAGCGTTGGAGAGTGAACATGTACGAAGCAGCGTCGTTTTTAGAAATGTCGGATTCCACTGTTTCCCAGAACTTGTCGAGGTTTGAGAGAAGTTCTCGTAGCCATACTTCCGAGCTTCGTTTTAGTATTTCCATGGCGAAACTTTTTACCTGTTTAAATATTTCAAAAATTCAAAATGTTTTTGGTTTAATATTCCAATTTTTTTTTGTCTATTTTAAAAACAAATTCTAAATTTGAAAAGTTTGAAAAATTAAAATTTTGCATTTAAAATTACTAAAAGATCATATATATATATATTACACATAGAATATTTCTAAACATGAAAAGGTTTATTTAAAATTTTCTAGACCAGAACTTTTTGTTGTTCTGTTGGGAAAAATGAGAAAAAAATCATGAGAGATGAATAATGAAGAGAAAATAGAAGCTGCTAACAGCAAAAAAAAATCAATAAGCAGCAAAAGAGTATGATAAGGTGATTCACTAAAAATGTTGTAATTGAAATAACTACATATGTAGAGTTATGTACTATGGTTTCTCTTATCATTGTTAGAAACTAATCAATTTAATACCAAGGAGACATAAAAGTACCATTCCAATCTATGACATCATTTTGAACTTGATAATATATATGTTTACAGGCTGCAGACTATTGAGAATAATTCTTTTGAAGGTGATGAAGAAGCAAGTCAAAGTTTGAGAGTATTTTTTTTCTTGATAGTGTGGTATATATGTATTCTAAAACTAAATAATTTTTTAAAAGGTAACATGTTATGCTGGAAGGTAAACAAGTTATAGAAAAAATTAGGGGTTGCTTGGCGTAAACTGTGGAATTCATTTCACAGTTTTAAAAGTCTTTTTATTATCAAATAGACTTTTAAATATTTTTTAGTTTTGAAATTCTAGAAACCAGACTTTTTCTTTTTAGTCATGAATTCTAAAAATTTCATAAGAGGAGCTTTTACACAATAAATAATAAAAGAAATATATTTAGTTTATTTTTATATTTCTTCTTTTCCCAGAATTATTCAAAAGACTTTGTACATTTATATAAAAATAATTATGAATTAAATTTAATTAATTTAATCTTCTTTTTCAGCTTTTTTTAGATCTATTTTTATAAAAAAAAATATTTCAATTATGTTGTATTTTTTTATTTTTTTTTGTATTGATTACATATACTAATATAAGTATTTGATAATTTATTAATGTTATTAACAAGATTTAAATCTAGCGTAAATTATATGTTTGACTAATAAAACATTATTTGTAATTTAAAACATAACAGTTAATTACTTAATTTTTACAGTTTTTACTGTAAAAGTATTTAAAACTAAAAATTTACAGTAAAAATTAAAAGTAAAAGTGATTATCAACAAGCCCTAAGTATATTCAGGAGACGTTGTCTTTTTCTTTTGTTTACCTATGCAATTTTACTAATTTTTGAATTTTTTTTTTAAATTGTATTTGTAAAATACTCAAATTTAATGATGGTCTAATAAATATTAAGTTAGTTTTCAAACTTTTTAAAACATAGGTTAATTATTACAATATATATAAAAATATTAAATAAATTCCCTCTTAAAATTCTGTATGGCGACATTTTTTATCTTAAAAAATTAAATATTATGGATAAAAATATGTATCAGTTATTGAAAAAAAAGTAGCACTCATAGTATAATCTTATACAAAAAAATTTGTATAATAATAACGTTAGATGATATTACTATTATAACTCGTAATACTTGCAATTAGCAACGCAAAGGTATGTACGGACCTTGGCGTGCTTAGGCTCGGTGGTGTCGAGATAAACTCCGACACGAAGGCCGCCGTAGAAGTCGAGGCTAGGACGGAAATCGCCGATGAGAACATCTCTTTTATCAACTAGATCCATGTCGAAGAGATAGCTAAAAGATTTGACGTCGAGGACGGCGACGATGTTAGGGTTAACGTCGCCGAAGAAAGGAAACGCCGGAGGGATATTTGTACGGAACACAGTGCTCTTGTATTTGTCTGCTCTTGTCTTGAAAAACTTCTCAGGTCCTTGGAACCAGAAGTAATCTAAACGGTCCGATAACGGTCCCACCAATGGCCAACCGTACGATCCCGGCATCGCACGGAGGGGAAGCTGAGAAGGCGGTTGTTGTGATGTTAGGGATGTTGACGGTGGTGGCGGTGAAGCAGAAGCCATTGTCCTCAAGAAAATTTTTTTGAGCTTTGAAGTTTTTGGGAAATTATTTGAGATATAGCTTCTATTGTCTATGGGGAGAGAAATAAATAAACAAAGAGAACATTATGGATATTTCCCTGAATTGTTTGTTTGCATTTGCATGTACATTTTTTTTTTTTTGGTTTGTTTATTGTTGTTAAAACTTAAAAGGATCTATAAAAGTATTTAAAGTTATTTTTATTCGTCCAACTGTAATTTAAATAGTTTATTTTTAATGTTTCAATGTAAACCGATTTTATTGTTAGTGCGTTCCAAGATTATTTGTTAACTGATCCGTGTTTCGCCCAAAATTTTGTATTATTTTTTTTTACTTTGGTTAGAAGAAAATGCCAAGATACCAAAACTTGTTCATGAATTAAATGTTGGGCTAAGAATCTACTCAACCATTTCAGAACTATAAGAGTTAAGTATAGATGCATATTGTAGTTAGTTATATAATCCTTCTAGAGTTTTTTTTATTCTCTGGTATTTTATCTTATCAATGCGATAATTAAACCATAGACAAAACACGTTTAAATATAATTTTTATTATTATGTTTCTGCCATTCTCAATGTCTACTCTTTCAATTTTCGAGAACTTTTGAGAACCTCACCCATTCATCCTCTTAAATATTGGTTTTCAAAATGTTAATTAATATTTTGGGATATCTACAATTTGCTTATCATAATATGTTAATTGCTAATATTACGAGATATTTGAACAAAAAACAAAATATTACTATAAGTTGATGATGTGGATCATGATATGGCACAATTATGAGTCATGAGTTGATGATATAGATCATGAGAAGAGAGCCTATTTTATTTTATATATTTACGCTCATAGATTAGAGATTGAAAAAGTCAGATATTAATGTTTTCAGACTTAAGTCACATTCCTTGTTATGTTTCGTAGGAGATTATTTACGCTCATGATTAGAGATTCCAAGTATAATGGGTCGAAAGTTTGATAACAATATTTTATGTGTACGAAAATGCACAGGAAAGATATAATCACTATTAATCAGTGAACATTAGCAATCACATATGTAGTAGCTAGACAGAAGAAGACAGTTTCTAACGACAAAGATCAGAGTGCGTCACGTGTGACGTGTGTACCTGTTTCGGCTTTGCTTGGAGTACGCTCTAGCTACCACATGTTTGGAAGTTGTAACAAATCGAAGATCTTCCTTCAACTTTTTGTGTGAACTGAAATCATAAGAAAATTTTGAGAAACACATGTCGTCTATTTGACGACAAAAAAAATATCTTACTCTTAACTACCACGACTTTTCAATCGTACCTCGCACTAAGAGGTCCAGGATGGCTCCATGCTCGTTTTCACCGATAGTCTAGTTTTTTTCTAAGTTTTGTCAACATGCACAGTGACAACTACACACACTAGTACCAAAAAAAATAAAATTTTTTTTTGGAACATCATATAAAAAGGAATGGAGAGAACTATTCGAAAATTTGGAATAACTATAATTCTACTAGCAAAACAAATACTAAATTTGTTACAAAAAAAAATACTAAATCCAGCTGAATGTGGAAGCTCCCTCTAGTTGGTCAAGGGTTTGAATACCAAAATAAAAAGAAACAAATTACAGGAAATTTTTAACGCGATGCAAAAAACAAAAAAATCCTGCCGAATTAGCATAAATTAATTGCAATTTTCATCATAAGATTTAACCCTTTAGAAACTAGAAGCAATACCCATTTTCAAAAGTTAACCTGAATTGAAGCACTTTCTTTCGATAGATAAAATTTGGCTTTCAAGACTCATTGGATTTTAAGAAGCTTTTATCCTGAGAGAGAAGACCAAGTAAAGTTTCTAGAGAGGTAACATGGACATAAACAAACCTATGGTCCCAAGTCAGGAATTAACTTCACTCTCAACTGACACATTTATACTCACACCATCACGAGATTTTCTATCGTTTAGAATTAGGTATAACAAAAAAAAAAAAAGTGGACCATATCATGTCAACTTTCTATCAGTATCAAGGTACCTTACATTATTGAGCTAAAGTTGTCCTGCACAACAAAGGTAGATTAAACCATTGAACAATCGAGCTGCCAAATCTGAAATCCGGTTCTAACTAACATTGCTTACGTTATAAGACTAATTCATTATTAGGTCAATCGTTGTTTTTTTTGTTCAACCCGGCTCGGTCCAGGCTAATTGACCTAATAATGTGAACAGTTATAAATGGTTGAAACAAAATAGTTTTCTATACACCGGTTTAATCCGCGTTTCAACCAAGCTGGAGATTCAGAAGTTGCCAAAGAAGTCATCAATGTAATATACAAGTCTGATTGCTCTCCAACCATAAATCATTACAGTGCTCTTTCATTGATGGTCTTATTCAAAAAGAAAATTTAGAAGAAGCAAGAATATTTGTTGAAATCCCGGACAAGGGCTTGGAGCCAGATGTTTGTAACATACAGTTCATAAGACGAATGAGACGTGAGGGGATGAGACTGAGAAGTGATACATACAAGACATGGGATGATGTGATTCTAGAAAGCAATAGAGACTTGGAGTTAAAACTAGAAGATGGAGAGCAAGAAGCTGAAGAACTAGCAGCTGATCTTGGAGATGCTTTAGTTGTTCCAAGCGGCCCAATGACTCGATCAGGTACTAGGAATCTTAAGCAAACGATTGAAGCTATCATCAAAGGTCTTGATCCAATCCAAGAGGGAAAAGAGATGGTCACAAGTACTCTGATTGTGATCCAAGTCCAAGACGGCTAAGTGGACTTGAGATCCAGGTTTGTACTCTTTTTCTTTATCTCAAGTTTTGTCCCAATGAGTTTTCTTGAGATAGGTTTCTAATGAGGTAAGAATGGATCTCATATTATCTAAGTCTACAAAGCCTTGAAGTCCAAGCTGTGCCGAACAAGAGGAGCGTTTAAATCAAATTCAAACTTGCCAACTTGTGTTTTGTTTATATCCGAGATGTGTTTAATGTTTTCCAGTCTCATCTTTTCTTTCTTTCTTCTTTATATTCTCTTATAATTCTTTGTATCAAACTATCTTATCTTTTATTCTCAAACTCTTTTCAAAGAATAAGATTGTGTTTGCTGGTGTGTCATATCCATCAAACAACTTGAATCAACTCTGTGTGTGTCATATCACTTGGGAGATTCAAGCCGGCGTATCAAGAGTATTCCATAACTCTTGTGTGTGTCCATTCGCTTCCCCAACCCTTGATTCAAACTTTGTTTGATTGCAAGGCATATCTTTTTCATATCCAGTCATTAGAGTGTTGATCAAGGGCATATCCTTACCAGGATCACATCAAGTGGTATTAGAGCACCATTCTAATCATTGTGTCGATTCATATCTGTGTTTTCTCTCTGTTTTATTTATCATTTCGATTACGAGAAAACTACAAATTTTGTTACAACCGTGATTTATGATCGTTATGTTAGATCAGTTGAGTATTCACTTGCTTGCATCACAAAACATATAAATCTAACTGTTCTGTACTATAAACTGACTGATAATTTCATATTTGCATCAGTTTCAATTTGTCTTTTCAACTTCCATCATTGATCTGTTCTCTAAGTGCTTAAAGTGACTATTAGGATTCTTAGTTTGAGTAAATCTATAGAATCTGGTTTATTTCGTGGGGATCACGAATAGTCATCATCAAACAGAACCAATCGATAGTGATCTATTTTGTGTTGTGGTTTCAGGAAAATCATGACAGAAGAAGAAGAGACAATCCAACAGCGAGACAACAAGATTCTGATGGAGGCCATGACCGCAAAGATAAAGGACTGATGGCTGCTCAATTCGAGTTGTTTAAACAAGAGATGCAGCAACAGTCAGATGCGAAAACCGATAGAGAAACAAGGATAAGGAACCACATGCAATCTCCTGAGAGAACCAGAGAGCAACTTAGACCACCAAGAGATGATGCGGCTGAGGCGTATTACAGCCGAGATAGTAGTTCTTTCAGAAGTCATCATCGATGCCAAAGATGCGCAAGAGAAGAGCTTATACCTCCCCAAGATAATTTAGGTGGAATCAAACTGCGAATCCCTTCGTTTCATGGCAAAAATGATCCAAACTCTTATCTAGAGAGGGAGAAGAAGATCGAATTAGTCTTTAACTGTTAACATTACACCGAGATCAATAGAGTGAGGGTCGCGGCTAGAGAATTCTACGAATATGCCTTAAACTAGTGGGATCAGTTGGTTACTTTTAGGAGAAGGAATGGAGAATATTCTGTTGCGAGTTGGCAAGAAATGAAAACTATCATGTGGAAGAGGGTTGTGCCGAGTCACTACCATAGGGATTTGCATCAGAGGATCAAAAAGTTAACTCAAGGAATTGATCGGTTGAAGAGTACTTTCAAGAGATGGAAACCCTTATGCTGAGCTGATATTACCAAGGATAGAGAAGCCACAATGTCAAGATTTCTAGGAGGTCTAAACAGAGATAAACAAGACCGACTTGAGATGCAGGACTATGTGGAGATTAAGGAAATGTTGCATAAGACCATATTCATCAAACAGCAACTCAAGAGGAAGCGTGTGATGAAGCCAAGTTATGGAGCTGTTTCTACAACTTCTAGACCGGGTTATCAGAAGGAGAAAAAGCCAAACTCCTACCAAAGAGAAGGAAAGCAACTTGCAGTGCCAAGACCTGAAACAAAACCTTATGTGTCTCAACCAGACAACAAAGGCAAAACCAAAGCATCCACAAACCGTGCCAAAGACGTCAAGTGCTTCAAATTCCAAGGCAAAGTCATTATGCCAACGAGTGCTCCAACAAAAGAGTCATGATGCTAAGGGATAATGGAGATATTGAATCCAAAGAGTAGGGATCCGAACCTGAACTTATGACCGAATATGAGGAGCTGCCGGCTCAAGGATTGTTGTTAGTTGCCATAAGATCTCTAAGTGTTCAATCAAAGACTGAGAAACAAGAGCAAAGAGAGAATTTGTTCCAAACTAGGTGCCTTTTCCAAGGCAAAATTTGCAGCCTTATCATCAATGGGGGCAGCTGTACTAACGTTGCAAGTGAAGCTATGGTGAAAAAGTTAGGATTGAGTGTTAAGAAGCATCC